TAACCAAAGTAGTCAACTTTTACTGTAAATCTTTCCAAACAATCTATCTTTTTTCCCAACTATATTATAAAACTCCTATTTTGTTCTAAATTGATATACATTTTTATTGTGGTACAATAAAATGCAAATTTTATTGCATTTATGATACTTTATAAATACCATAAAATTATGGTATTTATGGTATTTTTGATATTTTATAAATTTATGGTATTTATGGTATCTTATATATACCATAACATTACAAATAACATAAAATAAAATACCATAAAATGGTTGGGAGGTAGGAAGGACTGACAAAAATTGGTTTTCACCTGGAAAAATATACATACAAGAAGAGCTAGCTAGGAAAGACTGCAGATGTCAGGACATCTCTCTTTCAGAAAGCAACTAGAAAAGCTGTGTCATACACAGAAAAGCAGGTGTGTGATATGAGCAGCCATGACATCCAGGACTTGAAGGACCAAGGTACTAAATAAAAACAGATTAAACAAAGCTATGCTGAAGGCAGGAAATAATAAAGAGAGAAATTAATAAAATGGGAAGAGAGGGTACCACACAGAAAAATCGACAAAGCCAAAGTTGCTTCTTGAAAACATTCATAAAATTAATAAGTTACCTTACAAGATTCATCCAGAATGAAAAAAAGTAACACAATTTCTTAATAACATGGGGAAAGATATAACTACAGAAACAAATATTGAGGATATTAAGAACAATTGTATGCCAATAAATACAAAAATGTAGATGGAATGACAAATTCTTTGAAAAATGTAACTTTCTAAAACTGATCCAAAAGTAAATAGAATATTTGACTAAACCCATATTTATTAAAATATTCCTACAAAAAAACTCCAAGCCCATAATTTTTCTAAGCATTTAAGGAAGAGAACAGGAACCTGTTTTGTGATACCTAAGTAACTTTAACAATACAATCTGATAAAACTATATAAAATATACGACACAAAAATCCTAAACACAATCTTAGCAAATTAAATCCAGTGGTATATAAAAAAGGTTACTATATAATGACCAAGTAAGATTTATTGCAGGAATGCAAGACTGCTTTAGCATTTGAAAATCAATTAATGTAATTAACAACATTTTAAAAGCGAAAAAACAAATACCATATGATCATCTTAATAGGTAAAGGAAAATCATTTTATGAAAACCAACACCTTTTTAGGGTCTATTTCTGATAGACTAAGAACAAAAGGGAACTTCTTTAGTCTGTTCAGAATTTCTATAAATTTGATAGGAAATATTGAAAATGTTCATTTTGAGACTGGGAAAAAGACAAAGATGCCCATATCTCACTTGTATTTTGCACTGTGCTGGAGGTCCTAACAAGTGTAATGAAACAAACAAAAAGATGCAAAATCTATGATGACTGGAAAGGAAAAAACCTACCCTTATTTGAAAGCAAAAACTACCAATAAACTATGAGAATTATTAACTAAATTTAATAAGACCCTGAATACTAGGTCAATTTTAAAAATCAATTGTATATGTGAATCTAGCAATGAACATTAGAAAAAGAACTTTGAAAAAGGTACTATTTACAATAATAACAAGAAACATCAAATATCTAGGAATAAATCTAAACAAAGATGTGAAAAATCCTTATATGAAAATTTAAGAAAGCTAAAATAATTATAAGGATATATGATGTTCATGGATCCAAAGCTTCAATATTAAAAAGAAGTACATTTTATCTGAATTTATCTATAAATTAATACAATTCCAACTAAAATGCCAATAGGTAAGTTTTGCGGAAATTGAAAAGTTGATTTCCAAGTTCAAGTGGCAATATCAAGAGGCAAAAGTGTCATTTCAGAAAACATCAGTAAAATGTGTTGGCAAGATGTAAAGCTACTAGAATTGCTGATTGGAGTGCAAATTGATACCACCGCTTTGGGAAACTGCATGGCACTATGTCCCAACAATTCTGCAGAAAGGCAAACATGTATTTTTAGCAGCAAAATTTATCATAGCCCCAAACTAGAAAATACCCAAATGTCTATTAGTAGTAGTATGAATAAGTACATTGTGAAACATTAATATTAAATGAACTAAATACAACATGAAGAATCTCACAAACATATTGCTGAGTCAAAGATGACAAATGCAAGGGTATGTATTGTCCAATTCCATTCATATAAAACTTAAAAACAAGAAAAGCTAATTTGTGGTGGTAGAGGTGCTAATAGTAGTTAAATTGTGGAAAGAGATATTGTGAGAGAGAAGAGTGATTCTGGGATGCTGGTAATATTTTTTAATCTTAAATTATAAACATACGATATATGAACTTTCCCGGGTGATTAAACATCAAGAAACACATTTCTTTCTTTTTTTTCTTTCCTTCTCTCTTTCTTTCATTCTTTCTTATTTATTTATTTTTTTGAGACAGAGTCTCACTCTGTTGCCCAGGCTGGAGTGCAGTGATGTGATCTCAGCTCACTGCAGCGCTCACCTCCCGGGTTCAAGTTATTCTCCTGACTCAGCCTCCAGAGTAGCTGGAACCACAGGCACACAGCACCATCCCTGACTAATTTTTGTATTTTTAGTAGAGATGGTGTTTTACCATGTTGGCCAGGCTGCAACATTTCTTTAAACATGCAAAAATAACCAGGAATAATGTGGGGTGTGAGAACAGTCTAGACTATGAAATATTATCATGTATTATGGATCCACATTAATTTAAAAGAGTGCAGTATTGACAGCAGAATAGATAACAACAGGAACAAAGAGCAGGTTCAAAAATGGGCCTAAATGCAAAACAAAACTTTTCTACTATGTGTATGTACACAGTTACTTGTAATGCTGGGAAGTTTTAGATATCAATAAGTTGAGTGAGTAAATCAAGTTAAAATCCTAGGTTATTCAAAGGAAGCAAATCACTAAAACAAATATTTAAAATTATGGGCCTCCATGTAAAATGTTGAGCAAAGATTCCCATCACATCTCAATAACAAATAGAAAAAATCAAAACAAAACGACTTTTCCTACATACTTCTTTTCTTTCTTTAAGATGATGCATAGATTTAAATTGGATGGTGGAGGTGAGGGGGACAAAGGTAACAGACTTCCTTATTATCTGAAAAGAGACAAAAATTTGACCCCACGCCCTTTTGTTTATAATCTGTCTGGAGTGAAAAAGTGTTCTGTTTTGTTCATTTAACTAAAACAGGATTGTAAAAGAGTAATGATGGAACGCCACTTCAAATCAAAAAAGTGATTTTGTGATCTCTTCAATGCAAAAATCCAAGGGTAAATTTTGTTTTGGGAGAGATTGAATACAGAAGGTTAAACACTGTTATCAGGAACTGGCTTCTCTTTCAAGCAGTCATTTCCTCTGTGATTCCAAGATGGCTGCCAGCAGCTTCCTGGCAAGCATCTTTCTGATTTCTCACCCTGTGAAAAGGTGGGGGCCTTTGTCTCAGCATTCCCTGCATTAAATTTGTTGAATTAAAATGGAATATTTTGGGGCCCAAACATGTCACACTCATTTCTGAGTCAAACATGCTGCCTAAAGAAATGCACCAATTTGAGTGGTTTAGTCCTAAATTATATGCTCCATGTTTGAGCTAGGGAGGCATGAACACATGGGCTGAGAGTAGGGAATGAAGTGGGCTCCCCAGGCGGAAATTGGGGTAAGGCCATTGAAGAGAGGCTGAATAGAGTCCAGGTGGCAAAGTGTTCACTCTAGGGTAAAATACAGTTGGGATGGGGACAAAAGAAAGAGAGGCGCTACAAATTTAACCTTGATATTTGTTTATTGATATTAAAAAACTAAATACTAAGGACAGAATGTTTTTGTTCTCTAAAAATTCATATGTTGAAGCTCTAATCCCCATTGTGATGATATTTGGAGGTGAGGCCCTTGTGAGGGAGTTAGACGGTGATAATAGAACCCTTAGAAATTGGATTAGTGCCCTTATAAGAAGAAACACAAAAGTGATGATCTTTCTCTCCTCGGTGTGAGGACATAGCAAGTAGATGGCCTTTTACAAACCAGGAAGGGGACTCTCATGAGCACCAAATCAGCTGGCACCTTGATTTTGGATTTCCCAGCCTCCAGAATTGTGAGAAATAAATTTCTGTTGTTTAAGCCATTCAATTTACGGTATTTCATTTCACCAGCCTGAGGAGATTAAGACAATAGCCAAATCTCACTTTTTGAAAAAGTAAAGATATAACGAGGCAGAGAAATATTCCCTATCTCCTACATTTTTCCTGATGTTTTCAAATTTTCTGTGGTTATTTTGGTGACAGTGTTTGTTTCCGTGAGCCAGCCTGGAATGTAAAGCAAGCACTCAGGATAATTGATGATAGCTGCCCCTGCAGAAAAAACTGTCTTGTACCAAAGGGACTGTTTTTTTTTTAATCCTTTTTTCTATTACTGGTTTTAAATAATGTTTCTGACAAGATTCTACTTTTCTTTCTGTCCACTGTCAGTGAACAGTATTGGGCATTATTTGTGGGGCTGTAAATACATTACATGAAAAAATAATGAGTCCTTAAAAAGTCAAGAGAAATGCCTCCAGAGATATTTACCTAACATGTGATTTATGTAGGTCCAGGAATGAAGTCTCAGAAATTTCCAAATGAGATGTCTGGAACATAAAATAAAGTCTTTTCCAAATCAGCCTTTGTTGTAGCCCCTGGACACATTTCCATTTTACTTTTAATCTGAACATTGGAGAATGTTTTTCATGTTCAACTTAAATTGTTTAGTTAATGGTCTAAGAATAACTCTTGGGAACATCCCTCATCATAGCATGTTATTACTCTATTCTTCTGACTGAATTTGATGTATCTATTGTGTTCCTGCTGCAAAAACCGATCCCTGGGATTAATCATTTTCTTTTTAGCGGCTAGAAATTGTAGACATTTAATGGATATACCTACATCAGTCAATTTAATGAGTCTCATTGTCTAGAGTTTGAAATATACTGATCACTCTAATGTTAAAATATAATTGACATTCATCCTTATTTCAGGTTTCCAAGTTTTCCAACTTCGTCCCTCCTGCCTGCCTGAGAAGGGTAATTTAGTTTAAGCTTAAAAAAAAAAGTTGTCCAGTGCCTGGGAAGTCAAGTGGATCTACTGGGTAATGTTCACAGAGAGTAAACAATCTTTGTGTCATTTACTACAGTACACCTTCAGCAAATCACTTAGCTTCAGTTTCTTTAACAGGGACTATTTTGTCATCTTAGTAGGAATCGTTCCATGGAAGGATCGCTGGTTAATATTATCTGGGGGTATCTCTGGCAGCCTTACAGTTGGAAAGAATGGGATGCTGATGTGGCTGTGGCATCTGTTGCTGGGTCATGAGCCAGGGCCTCCATCCTCCTTCAGAGGCTAAGCACAAGGCCAAAGGGGTGGACTTCCAGATAAAGGAGACCCAGCCAGTTGTCAAATACAGTTACAGGAAAGTAAGTGCACTCAAACCTGAGTTATAATTAATGGTTTTTTTTAATGTTTTGTTTCAGTTGTTTGAATTTATGAACTTTTTGGCAGAGAACGTCATCTTCTGTTACATGGGCCTGGCACTGTTCACGTTCCAGAATCATATCTTTAATGCTTTTTTTATACTTGGAGCCTTTGTATCCTTTGAAATACAGAACATGGGGTGATTAGAGAAAATAACAAATGACTTACTTTTACTGATTATTCTGTTAAATTGTTAAAGCAGTTCCCTAAATTCTACTGCAAGGTTCAGACACAAGGCAGATATGTGATTTCTAGTTAGGGGAGAAAAGCATCCTAAGAAATTTGGACCTCCATTAAATAATTATGGTTCAGGATAAGAACTTTGGAAAGAACTATGGAAATAAAGGGGGAAATTAAAGGAAAAGATATTTTTCAAGTCAAAATATGTTTAACTATAATTATGAATCACTTACATAAAAATTATGTCAGTGTATTCTTTATAGAGAAACAGACTTAATTTGCATTAGAGTATATCAGGAAGCATCCAGGATTATTCAGCTTTAGAAATGTTTTCATTGCAAGATGATGAAATCTCTTTTCCAATGAGGACTTCAAAAATAGGACAGATGATCAAATGAAATGAGCGTGATGCATGTGCTTTCAACATTATAAGCATTGTTCAAATGTAGGTTCATTTGAATAAGATAGCACCCTTCCTTTCCTATGAAGATAGATAAAATCTAGACCTCACTTTTAATGCAGGGGTTTTTCCTAGCTCTAGGCCTGGGACAGGAGGTATTTCCAGTGGGAATGGATATCTATCCAAAAGGATGTTGAGCCATTAGGAATGTCCCCAAAGACAGTTAGCAACTGTTGTCCTTCTTCCCACTTGGAAGATGGGCCGAGGTCACCTTGGATCACAGATAATCCTAACAGCCAGGAGAGGCAATTCCTCTCTATAAACTGTGTTCCAATTACACACCTGCATTCGCTTCTTAGTCTCTTTTCATTGAGCATTCAGCTGAACCCTAAAATTTCATCCAAAACCTGGATTTTAAAAGGAAGTTACCTCTTCCCAAATAACTCCATCCCATTGAGGACAAACTAGAATAGCCCATCGGGGAAGGAGTCAAAGACAACAAAAAGGGAAAGGTGAAGCGCACCAATATTTTCAAAGACTTTTACTTATAAAACTTTGATTTTAGCAAATTGCCACATAAAGCAACAGTTGTATTATGTAATTAGACAGGTAATTCCTCTCAAAATTAATTCACCAAAAGAAAAAGATATGCAAAGCTTGCTAGATATAGGAAATATAAACTGATAAGAAGGAAGATGGTAAACATGAACAGAAGCACATTTATCCTTTCCAAAGTGCCATTTGGGAAGATAATACTACAGCATTTGAATGGTCTCTGCCTCACATTTTACAGCAGAATTGAGGATAGTCAGTCATCAGCAATATAAATGTGATTAGAAAATTTACAGTGATTGAAATGGTATTGGGCTAACAATTTTAAAGCCAGTATCAAAGAAAGACAGAATTCTCTATTATTTCTGGGAATAGCGACATTGAAATATAAATTTTGAAAGCAAGTTGGACAAATGTGAATTGACATGTTTATTTCTGGTTTTGGGGTCATAATGTAGAGAAGCTTAAGGACATAATATTTAAGCTCAAGGATTCAAACCATCATTGCAGCAACATTTTCCTCAATGGTTCCCTGTGCTTATCTACAGCTAGCAATTTTTGTTGCCAGAGCCTGCAACATATATCCCCTCTCCTTCCTCCTGAATCTAGGCCGAAAACAGAAGATCCCCTGGAACTTTCAGCACATGATGATGTTTTCAGGTATGTGAACTACGTTATGTGTTATTGCTGCTGGTTCTCTCACACTTTTACAGAACATGAAAAACCATGAGGAAATTTAAACCCTTTTGGGGAAACAACTTCTCTTTACCCCACTGTACCTAACACTATGCTGATTCTCCCTAAGTGCTGAGCAACAGCAGGATTTCTCTTTCCACGTGGGAAATGAAGTTAGAGGGAATCTTGTTGGTATGGCTTCAAGGTACCACATCTGGTCGGAAATTGGCCTAAAGTGGACATTAGACTTTCCTCTGACCTATTTCAGATGAACTTTTCATACTGGGGAATTTGAATTATAATTTCATAAATTGCATGCTCAGGGTAAATAGTTTGTAAATGGTGCCACTCTTAAAAACCTTGCTCCTTCCTTATGCAAAACTCCAGAAACTCTTCATGGTTAATACAAAAGCAAATCAGACCTAAGAATGCTCAGTTGTTAGTTGAGAAAACAGATATTAATTGAGCACTCACCAGGTGCCTGAGATGAGTTCTGAGCACCGATTGATGAAACTGACAAGGTCTCTGTTCTCAAGACATTTGTGTTCTAATTGCTTGAACCATACCTCAAGGCCCCTTTCCAAAAGAAAATAAACCAAATGAATTTTCTGACCTTGAAAACCTCTGGGGATTATGGTTTATCTTTAGTCAATTAATTTTCCTACCTTCAGTCTTTCCCTGTTCAAAGACCTTTTGCAGAGATCTTTACATGATTCCTATGTAGCTGTACACTTACAATGTGCTCAGAGGTAGTTATTGGGGGATACACGAGAGTTTACAATAAAACCTGCTGTCAGCATGAACAAATACAATTTAGGGTATGTAGGGGCATACAGAGAAAGTGAGAGAAATGAACATTTATTAGCATTTGCCATTTGCCACTCACTATTTTTTAATTAATCCTGTGAAGCAAATATTAACACATTTTGTAGATGAAGAAACTGAGGTTCAGGATCTCAAAAAGGTTATGAAACTTGGCCAAGAACAAAAGTATTCTTGAACCGATGTCTGTGAGATTCCACCTAAACCCAACCAAGTGTCTCAAAATTCACATTCCTGAGAGCAGTAAAAGGTTTGTTTCGCCTTCAGTGCCATTCTATACTGGTCCATATGGTTAAAGGGGCAGCTCCCAAGCTGAGAGTGAGTCATCAATTCAAATACGGACAAATGGAGATACAACATTAAATTTGCCCTACTGAAGGCCTCTGACAGTACTTCCTTACATTTCTAGACATGTTAGGGTAAGAAAGAGAGAGTCATAAGGAAGGTGAGAAGTTAGAGTGGTAGGTTATTTTTGATTTAGAACAGTAATAAACTTTGGCAATGAGTTGATTTTTATTATGAGAAAGGAAAAGGTAAACTTGAGCACTCATAAATGGGAAGCCAGCATTGGGTTGCATTTTTTTCAAAACATTTCTGGGAATTGGAAAGCACTTTTCCTTCTTTCCCATCAAAACATCAGTAACTTCACTCTGGAGAACAGCAGTTTATTTTCAAAGCTTCAATATTACATTTTAAACATTGCTTTATTTGACAAACAATGCTTTGAGAAAAATGTAAGGCCTTAGATAATCATGTTAGGTTGTGAATTGTCTGCCCAAATGGCCACCTAGCTTGATGGTTTCTCCAGGCTTTGGCACCTTCTAAGTTTGTTTAACCATAGGATTGTAGCTGCATTAAAACCTCGTAGAGGCCAATTATATGATGTATACAGCCAGGGGATGTGAGGAGGTCCAGAATTTATCTTTATGGTATTCTAAAGCCAGGAGTCAGCAAACTATGGCTCTTGAATCAAATCTGGTCCATGGCTATTTTGTTAATATTATTAAGTTGGAACTCAGCCCAACCCATTTGTTTACTTATTGTCTATGGCTGTTTTTGCAATACAGTGGCAGAGTTGTGAACCATATGTAATCATGTGGTTCATAAAACCTAAATATTACTATCTGGCCCTGTTTTGAAGTATCCTTACCCTCAGGGAGAAAAACAATAACCCTATCATATTAATGGGGTTGTAATTATTAGTTTAATTCATGAGAATGCCAATCAGCCAGTTCCCGTCAATTAAAAAGACAACATGCCAAATTTTCAGGACATCTACCTACATATGGCTCTGATGTCCAGAGAATGCCACCCATTGTCTTTCATATTGAGCATCCATATCACCTGCTGGCATCGGCACTGTTAGTTAGAACTTAGCAGCTTGAACTCAAGGGCACAATCATCTTGGGCCAAGGTACACTTCTTTTATGTATTTGATTGGATTTTTGTTTTGTACACTTTTCACATTGAAATGAATCTGAACATCAAACAGATTGAGTTTCTTCTTTATATTTCTAATGTCAGTTTTATTAAAAGTTAAAATTGATAGTACTCTTTTACATGGTAGAAATAACATTGGATTTTGCACTAAAAAGCTGTCTTCTTAGCTTTCAAATGGAGAGATAGTAATGTTACATATATATGTAATGGAATCATTGATGCCATGCTCACAAGTCACTTTATACCTTCCTAAGCGCTTTCATTGGCACTGCTTTGAGACTCATAGCCACAGCGAGATAGGGTAGCCATTATGCTCTTTTTTTTCATTTTTTTTATTGTGGTGAAATACACATAATATAAAATTTCCCATCATAACCATTTTAAGAATACAGTTCAATGTTGTTAAATACATTCAAAATGTGCAACCATCACCACTGTCTACCTCCATGATTCTTTTCATGATGTAAAACTGAAACTCTATACACATTAAACAGTTCATTCCCCCTCCTCCCAGTCCCTGGCAGCCACCATTCTTTCTGTCTCTATGATTCTGACTTCTTTAGGATCCTCATATAAGTAGAATCATATAGTATTTGTCTTTTTGTGATTGGTTTATTTCACTTAGCATGACATCCTCAAGGGTCATCCATATTATGGCATATTATAAAATGTCCTCCCTTTTAAAAAGGCTGAATAATATTCATTGCATGTATATATCATATTTTATTTATCTATTCATTTATCAATGGACACTTGGGTTCCTTCCACATGTTAGCTATTGTGAACAATGCTGCTGTAAACATGGGTACACAGACATCTCTTCAACACCTGGCTGTGAATTCTTTTCAACATATACCCAGAAGCAGAAGTGCTGGATCATATAGTAATTCTATTTTGAATGTTTTGAGAAGCTGCCATACTGTGTTTTTAACATAACTTTACCATTTTATATTTCTACCAACAGTGCCCAAATGTTCTTATTTCTGTACATTCTGGCCAAAAATTATTTTCTGGTTTTTTGTTTTGTTTTGTTTTGTTTTGTTTTGTTTTTGCTTATGGTAGTCATCCTAATGGGTATGATGTAATAGCTCATTGTTCTTTTGATTTGCATTTCCTTCATTAATAGTGATGCTAAGCATTTTTTTCATGAGCTTACTAGCCATTTGTGTATTTTCTTTTTTTTATTATTATTATACTTTAAGTTCTAGGGTACATGTACACAACGTGCAGGTTTGTTACATATATATACATGTGCCATGTTGGTGTGCTGCACCCATTAACTCATCATTTACATTAGGTATATCTCCTAATGCTATCCCTCCCCCCACACCCTCCCCACAATAGGACCCAGTGTGTGATGATCCCCTTCCTGTGTCCAAGTGATCTCATTGTTCAATTCCCACCTATGAGTGAGAACATGCG